CAGGAAACCGTTCCCGAGCCGCGGCCGGGATGGGAGGGTGAGGGTTGGTTTCTTCCTGGTGTTTTTCATCGGTGGCAGCGCGGGGAAAACAGCTGGAAAAATAAACAGCGAAGGCGGGAAGGAATACGGCGGGCGAACCTGCAAGACCCCCCGGGTTAAGGTCTCGGGCCGGGGTCGGCAGATGGGCGGCTTGGCGAGCCACCTGCGGCTCTTTGGCCCCTTGAGTGTGGCTCTTCCTCAGCCTTAGGGGGAGCCTCATGAAGTGAATCACAGTGCACCTACCTGTAGAGTTTCAGTTTAAAAGATTTGGCTCTCAGAAGAAATTTCAATCGTTGTCCTGTTGGTATTTGGCCCTGTGGACTAATAATGAGTTTGCCGGCCACTGGTCCTAGAGAGGAAAGAAAACCGCCACACGTGAAGCCTGAACATCACACACCTCGACGATGGGGGGATCCTGGTAGACCAAATCAGCTTAAATGAGAGAGAGAGAGAGAGAGAGAGAGAGAGAGAGAGGATGAATGGAAGGAGCCAACAGGAGGCCTCAATATGACTTGGGAACACGCCACCGCTTCCTGCCAACAAATCCTCCTGCAATGGTTTTCTAGAAATACACAAAACACTACCTCTTTCATTTAGAAGGGATGAGTCTCTGTCCTGGGGCGAGAGTCCACAGTGACGCCCCCCCAAAAAAAGAAAGACAGGGGGAAAAAAACCCATCTGGAAAAAGGCCACCAGGGGGCATCAGAGAGTGGAGAGGGCTCTACCCCACTCCCCCTGAATGGGTACCCCTGGCCAGTGTTTCTCAAATTTAGGGAGTTTCTGAGTCCCCGTGAAAGCGTAGACACACTCCCAAGTCCACCGGGGGAGTTGGGGCCACACGGTTGCGGTAGACACTGGCCTTATTTAATGAGAGAGCTATTTGGGAAGGAGGTGTCAGTGGTTTGAATGATGATCCAAGGAATGAGAAATGGAGGTTGTTCTCTCTAAATGTTGCATGGGGCCCCATCCTGGGATGCGGGCACGCTTAGGGTTTCTGGGTCCCTCTCGTGGGTTAACAGTCCACACCAGACCTCTCCGTTTGATAGGGGTTCAGAACAACATCCGAGGGGCCAAGTCTACACTTAACCCACACGCTCCCCTCTCACCAGCTCGGCCCCATGGTAGTCACTGGACATGGATGGCTTTGGGGGACAGGGGATCGGTTCACGTTTCCAAGTGAGTTTCAGCCGATGACATGTCTGCTCTCTTTATTTTTGTTTTTTAAAAATATGTTTTATTGATTTTTTACAGAGAGGAAGGGAGAGGGATAGAGAGTTAGAAACATCGATGAGAGAGAGAGACATCGATCAGCTGCGTCCTGCACATTCCCTACTGGGGATGTGCCCAAAACCAAGGTACATGCCCTTGACCGGAATCGAACCTGGGACCCTTGAGTCCGCAGGCCGAGGCTCTATCCACTGAGCAAAACCGGCTAGGGCTATATTTTATCTTTATTTTTTAAGAAAACTTTTTATTGATTTTTGAGAGAGAGAGAGATAGAAAAACTCTCAAATGACTGACTCCCAGCAGGAAACACACCTGAGGAAGCAGGTGGCATACAGCCCCTTTGTAGAGACTGACTTTTTAAAAAATATATATATTTTTATTGATTTCAGAGAGGAAGGGAGAGAAACACCAATGATGAGAGACAATCATGGATCAGCTGCCTCCTGCACGCCCCCTACTGGGAATGGAGCCCGCAACCCCGGGCTCGTGCCCCGACTGGGAATCAAACCCGGGACCCTTCAGTCCACAGGCTCAGGATCTATCCACTGAGCCACACCGGCCAGGGCCAGATCGACTGTTTGGATGCCAGCAAAACCCAATACTCTCCTGAATCCAGTGGGAATTTGGGGCCACGAATTTTACATAGGTTCCCCCCAAACCCTCTCCTTCTCGTTCCATCTGGCTTTCTGAAGCCCCCCTCCCGCCCCACCGCAACCCCTCTTCTGCCTATATGCTCTTTGTACCCC